ATGGTGGAGAAAAATAACTTCAAATTAGAAAACAAAAAAAAAAAGATGATTATCGAGTATATAGCAATAATTATAAATGAAATCGAGCGCGCTTAAATGAAAAAAAAATATTTTCTTTTTTAATGTACATTTTTAATATACAAATAAATAATAAATTCCGACTTTTTTCATCGATTCTCAAGGAAAACAACTATAGTTGACGAGAAGTCTTTCAGTATACAGATGATGCGTCAGGTAACAAAGCTAAAGGTATACGTGAGTTCCACATTTCAGCTCCGCAGGAGCTGCGCTAACAAGCTTTTTTTTTTGTTATATCTTTTTATTTACAAAGACTCTTATGTGAAAAAATGTTTAGATATAAAATGAGAACTTTCCTTGACTTATGATGAACACGAATACCTTTTAGATATTGAAGATAAGAAGAAAATTTCATTTCAATTCATTTTTCATGCGAAAAATAAAGTTGCTCTTATATGTAGATCCATTGTGTGTAAAGGGTGTGGGTAGAGGTGTAAGCCGATAGGCTGATCGGCGGCGGCGCCAGTTTTTTAAAATTTTTTTAAAATGCTCGGCGGTGCAGATTTGATATTCCAAGATTGCACAGCGGCGGCGGCTCGAAAATTGTAAAATTTCGAATACCATCGGCGGCGCGGTGGCTGTAATTAAAGTGTCTCAGCGGCGGCGGCTTGAAGTTTAAAAAGTACTACGTTATCATAAATAAATTAGTCTATAACCTTGTCTACACGAGGAGGATAATGCAGTATTCAATTCGTATTAAATCAATTCGTGTCTACATTTGTCAGTTAATGCATCAATCAGAATCCTTGACTTTGAAATGAATCGTAGTTTTTGTTCACTTCAATCATAGAGGAATCGCTCATTGAAAACTGCGTCAGTCTCATTGGAAAATCCAGTCAGACTTTGATTGGTGCATCAACTTTAATGTGGTTCTGAATAGTGCAATAAATTTAATGCACTTTATAAAAGTGTTTTAAATGTTTATTAACTGTTTAACCAATCATGTTTCTTAATTTACCATCAATAATTTTTAGTGTAGACAAGGCCTATTTCAATATCTCGGCCTTTTTATCTTCAAACACATATGTGGAAAACCTTTAATTCACATCTAGACATAATAAAAAAAAAAAGTCTAAAATTAAAAATAAATATAATTGCTAGGGTAAATAATAAATGAAAAATCACCACCACGATTGTTAATAAGTAAAGGCACTTAGCGTATTCAAGTTTGTTGTTTTTATTTTGTTTTTGTTAATCAAAATTTAAAATGCTCGTCTCTTCTTGTATTTATTAATATATCTAATATAAAGACATAAACAACTGAAATGATAACTTAGAATTTTCAACCAACACAGAATTAAGGGTTTGTTTACAATTTAGAATCCCAAGCACCTGACTGATCAAAGAACCAGCACGAAAGTGAAGTTGAAGACGAGGAAGATAATGAAGAAGAGATTTATTGGGATTCCAAGATGTCAAAGTACCAAATTAAAGAAAATATAAATAAAACGTTTATTTATGCTAGTTGCCAGCGGCGGCGGCGGCTCGAAAATTTTAAAATTTTGAATACCATCGGCGACGCGGCGGCTGCAATTAAAGTGTCTCAGCGGCGACGGCTTAAAAATTTCCAAAATTGCTACTGTCACGGCGGCGGCGGCTTAAAATTTTTCGAGTCTGTCGGCGGCGACGGCGGCTCAGCCGCACGGCTTACACCTCTAGGTGTGGGTATGGATGTTGGTGTTGGGATTAAAATAAGAATCAAAGTCATATCCATACATATCAGAAAACAATGCATAAAAATAATGAAGGCAAGTTCAACAGTAACCAAAGTAAGCATGAAAAACAAAAGGAAACATTCAATTCGAAATTTTCTTCCGACATTAAGTTTTTTTCCTATTCATAATTCTTGTTAAGAATGAATTCAATTGAGAAAAATATAATTAATAGAGAAGTTTGTTAACTCTTTGAATGAATTTCATTGTTTTCTTTTCAATTAAAAGTTACGTTTTCATTTATTCTCTATCCTATTTTATTATATCAGGACGGTAATCAGTTATTTTTATTTGATTCAATTAGTTAGAAGTTTCTGAAAG